CTCTACCTCCCCCAGAGGATGAGGAGGGTACAGTCCAAAGTAAGCACAAGCTTACCTAAGGTTAATGCCTATTGGTACGGCATAAAAAAAATACTAAAGTCCCCCATTGGGCGGTGAAGGACTTGGAGCAAAGACACCCCAAAACTCTCCGGCGTGAGATCCAAAATGGATCGGACGGACAAGCTGAGAGTCGGGTCGTGGAACGTGTGCGGGTTCGCAAGGAGTGAGCGCAAGCGGTTGGAAATAGTGGACCAAGTAGAACAAAGCGAGCTAGATGTAGTGGGGATCCAAGAGAGGTGGGAATTGAAGAATGGGGACGTGGTGAGCAAACTAGGGAAATACCGGTGGGTAGGGAAGGCAAGAAAGGGCTTAGACCCGAAGAAAAGGGGGGAGGGGGGAGTCGGATTCCTGGTTAAGGAACACTTGGTTGACGTGGTGGAAGTAGAGGTGAAAACGGAGTTCGAGGAAAGCCTATGGCTTAAGATACCTGGGGAGCGGGGTGAGAAAGACTTGTTTCTAGGGGACGTATGCGTCCCACCGTCGTCGAAGAAAGTCGCAACCAAGGCGCAGGAGAACTTTCGACAAAGTGGGGAAGATGTCCAGAGGTTCAGTAGGAAGGGAGAAGTTGTCATGGTGGGCGATTTCAACTCCAGAGTAGGGAAAGCTTCCAGTAGAGGACAGGCGATCGGGCAGCACGGAGAAGACAAAGTGAATGACAACGGAGTGAGGATGCTTGAATTCTTGGAAAGCAACCAACTGATGGTGTTGAACGGTAGGAGGAAATGCGATAAGCCGGAATTCCCCAGGCAACGGGCAGTTTGCAATGAATACTCAATCATCGACTACATCCTGGTAGATAGGGGGAGCACGCAGATCCCAGAGCTGCACGTAAGTGCGATAGAAAAAGGTTCGACCGACCACTTCCTCGTATGGGCAAATATCGACCGATCTAGAAAGATGGAGGGTAAGAAACACACGAAAGTGTTCCGGTGGAAAGTAGAGCGTTTGGGAGACGAGGGGACACGGGATGAATTCCAGAAGGGACTGGCTGGTAGTGTAGAACCCTTCAGGAAACTGCTGAGAAGCGTCGAAGACGGACAGGTAGACGTACAAGCATCAGGGGACAGGGGGATTGAAGGGTGGGAGTCCATCGTGAACGCAACGGCAGAGAGAGTAGTGGGAAGGAAGGTGGTACGATGTGGGGTATCGGTTAAGTGGTGGGATGACGAGCTGGAAGAAGAAATACGGGAACGTAGAGAAGTCTTCAAGCAGTACCTGAGTGAGGCGTCTGAGGAGAGTTGGGAAAAGTACAGGGCCAAGAGAAAACAGGTGAAGGGACTAGTGAGAAAGAAGAAAAAGTGTATTTGGGACGAAGTAGTGCAGAAGGCCAACGGAGGTCTGGAGGGAAACGTCAAGCAGATGTGGGAAGGGATTAGTGGAATGGTAAAAAAGACCGCGCAAGG